ACCGAGAGTGACATGAAAGTTCTCTTTCTTGAAACACACCGAATCGTCTTAAATCAGAATTTGGAAAAGGCATAAAGAACGGAAAGGTTGGAAATAGTAGAAGTCAGTCTTCTATTAGCTTGATCTTCAGCGCTAGCTTGGGAAGTCTAGACTTTTTTTAAGGCTAGGGAACTTTGATTTGACGGTGTTAAACTTGTATGGGTTCTTGGAAATAGTGACTATATGCCTGCTATGAGCAGTTGTTTGGAGGCACAGTTCAATTTAGAGTAGCTCTTTTTAAGTTGAAAAGCGGAAGTGTTGGTGGAGAAAGTCCTTTTGGCTTCGCAAAAACTAAGGCTCCCTTAAAGTAGTGGAAATAGAAGTTGTACGAGATTATCACGACAAACGAATTTTTAGGCTGTTTTATTGTCTATTAGAATTCCGTATGGGTATGAGTTGAGTAGCGGTGATGTAGTGCCAATTGGCGCACTATCGCACGCATGGTCCAGGGATCCAATCCCAGAATGATAGTTTCCCAGACCGAGTGAACCCTTTATCGACCCAGGTCTATTCGACTAGTTTCAAGATCACTTGGTTATATGAAAACATTGACCTCTACATCTGCTGATCATCGCGAATCATTTTATAGGCTACTACGATTCTGAGTGAAAGTCAAGTCTCGAATTCGGATCGAGTTCTAGAAAAAACGGAATTGCATAGCTTAACACGAATTTATTCCTTGTTATTTGAGAGACGTGGGCTCCCAAGAAAGGAAAAATGTGTTTTTCCTACAAGATTTGCCTTACGGATTCTATAATATCTCGCGCAAATCTGATATACAGGTTATTCGAAGTTCAGTCCGGGAGATGCTTTAGAGATATGACGCTAGCCATTATACGTGCAAAAGGCTGTTGCAATGAGGTGAGTCACGCTAATTTTTATATTTCATGGTTTTATGGAAGAAATTCCGGTATAACTGAAGGTGTTGAAAGTCTGTTTGACCAGGTCTTACTATCCTAGCCCTACGGTATTGCTGCCCCTCGTCACTGTTCGTGTCAAGAACTCATAGGGCATGGAAAGGCCAGGTTGTGAAACTTTTGTGTGTTTATTATTCGGAGGATTCGAGAAAAATGGAACAAGCCCAATCTCCTCGTTGGTAAATAACTTCTTAAAGTGGGGTTACAGTATGTACCGAATTTTCGGAACATACTACCGTAGTCCTTTGACCTTGGGAACCTCAATCGTCTGAGGGTCAAGGAATAGGAAGCCGATAAATCCAGAACGGTAGGTGAAATCTGCACATATGGGGACTTCGAAAAAGCCCAATTTCTACTGCCTTATGGCATCAATCTAAACTGATGTGATTCAGTTTGGGCTTTTCATAAGTTTTCCGAGTGAGCATTCAATCCTAACAGAATTTTTTTTCAAAGATTACCCAGAATAATTTAAGAAATTTCAGGATCACGTTCTCCAAGGAGAACAAGCTCTATCTACTAATTCTACTGGCAGCCGCTTTGATAATATTGGGACTCACATGTTGCTTATCTAAACTTGCTCAGACACGCGTTCCAAATCGGGATGGACAACTTCCCATTTTTGAATTCGAGGTAAGCGTAAAAGGCTCATTTTGCGTTCCGGAAATAAATTGATCCACGAAATACAATTGCCAGGAATTGAGCTTGAAATCCTACCCACAAATCAAGGGGTAGGATTTCATTTTCATTTCAAGAGGGTGTGAAGGGCTGAGGAGAGGAGGGGGAGGAGGACCTTCACACACTTGGAGATTATTTACGTATATATCAACGTAGACAAGTTTATGTATTGCTCTGATCATCACCCTCTAACCAGAGATTATCTAGCCACTCACGAAGACGAAAATCGCAAAAGCGGCTGAGAGTTATCGCAATCAGGAAAGAACAATCGAACTTGGTGAAAAAGGTCTCGACAATCTTGAGAAGATTCAAACGAAGAATTCAGATGTAAGTATGGTAATCATACATGGATACTTAGGAATACAGCTGCTTTTTTTGAAAGGCTCTTTGAAGTTATTCCTAAATCGGTTCCGCCGAAATGGTTTAGCATCGGCTAGTCGAACCGCTTCTTGGAATCTCAATATAACTTTTATTCCCCACGTTGTATAACAATAGCGATGCATAATTTCCAGGGCAACAAGGAAACGGATTGCTAATACCTCATCCATCTGTAGTACATTAGATCCTGCATGGGCTCACCCACACATGCTATTTCCAAGAAAACAATTTAGTTACCCATTGACCTACCCAATAACTCACGGATACCTGTCCTTCTATACTTCCAGCTCACGTGCCTCATGCCAGATTGCCGATCCCGAAACAAAAGTTCTGGTAGGCCTAGGCACCTGAATTTCCCAAACCTGACTCTGAATCTTACGTGTGATAGCGGTGGTACTTAGGTTGAGCACTCACTCTGTCTGGCATGGAAGAATGAGAATTCGATGATAGAACTATGACTTTTTAGATTATCCTTTTTCAATCCTTAACTCAATTTCTATTTTAGCCGTTGCCAAATCGAACGTTTGTTGGTTTCACCGGCACGGAGATGTGCGAATCAGGCCGAGCTCAATGTGTTCAAGCATTCGCGAAGATTCGTCCATTGATCGTGGTATGCTCACCATAATATTGGCTGATGAAGCAAGACACTGGTACCTTTTCGGGCTTACCTTTTGGGACGCGAACTCAAGGGCGTATTATTTGTAGGGACCATAAATTTTTTAAATGGTCTTTAGACGAATCAAGATCCTTTTGATGAGTCTCGGTCATGACAACTAGAATCAAGCTTAATCACCTTGCCCGCACTTTCATCCTAGGGATCCTCATTCGTCCTCGTCGTCTCAATCAGGAGTAGGAGTAGTAGGGAGGGGGAAGGAGAAGGATGTAGGTGGGGGGGGGGGGGGGGAAAGGGGAGAGATGATGAAGTGTTTGCAGCAAGCTTTCATGTGAGGAGGTGATGGAGCTCTCAATGAGACACGTTCGAGGGAAGTAATGTCTGGGTATCTCTCAACGTCATAGTTGACTCCAATGATAATACTGTTGATGTTATTGAGAGTTAAGATTTCAGACTGCACCGAATCATCACCTGATGTCCTGTATTGTTCAAAAAAGCATGTCAACGGTGATGTCGGCTATATTCTGTTTTTTGATCCGTGAAAAGGAATTTGTAGATGCGGGCCGTAGTATTCTCAGAGAATATGCTGATATAAGGTTGGCTTGATATTTTGAATTCGAAGTTAGCTCATTTTAAAAGTGTATGCACTTCTGTTGGAAGGAGGCCAAGGACCACCCTTTATTTCTTACCCAAAATTAGTCTGCCGCTGAGGCATACTGGTTGCGCTGAATGTTTTCGATGGGCTTGTAGGATATTTGGTCCGTCATGTTAGATTCGCTAGGCTGTAATTATACTTTTGAGTTCTATGCCTCTGCTAAGCCGAAACCAAGCACTTATGATGACATTGACCGCTACGCAAACCGCGCGCTCACCTGCCACATGTTGCGGCCGCGATTTGATTAATGTTTCTGATTATGCCAGTATGAAGCAATCATCAGAGGTGCATGCAGGCATTTATTTTTGAAGATCGTTTTCTCGTTATGAACTTAACTGCAGTTTTTAGACTTTGTGAAGGAAAAAATGAATTCAAAAGTGTAAAGGACATGGAAGAACGACTGTATTTACGTCGAAATGATCTCAATAACTGGCGCTTCACTATGGTTACTCGAGAGCCTGTTGATCGATTTCTGTCAGGTTTTATCGACAGATGCATACGGTAAGTCGTCAATAAAAATCGAGTTTGATGCATGCGAACGCAGAAATTCGTTTTTGATGGATACGCCATGCGTTACACTATTTTCCGAAATCGTGGAAACATTCACATGATTTGAAAGTTTCTCTCATGGTTAGATCGAGAGTCTAAAGCGCATGCAAAGCCGAGAGTAATGTTCTTTCTCTACCAAGACAAGTCTGCCACAGATTTTCTTTGAGACCAAAAGGGGTAGGCGGGCTTGAGAAATTTGGCCGGTAGTAGTAGGGTACGATTTAATAGGGCGTGGTAAGCATTCTGAGATACTCTACGTGTTGTGAAGTGGACAAGTTGTTGATCTAATGCCAACAGTTTTCTTTTTCATTCAACTACTATTTAATTTCGTTGATTGTTTGTTGTTTATTTATTGAAAAAATTTCACGCTATTTCCCGCTTCAGAGCAAGCTACTGTATACGAGCTGTCCTTTCCTCTTTGAACCCAATAGATCTTTTCTTTCAGTGTAGGAGACTCGTGCTTCGGATGTGGTACCAATATGACGTGTTTCCTTGAGGAAGAATACAAAAGGTAATCGACTTCTCTGTCGTGGCTGATCAGAATGTGATTTGATCGAGTTTTAGAGCTGGAGAATACGCATTCGCCGATAAAAATTCACTCATAAAGCCAAGGCTAACCTACGAGGATATCCATGTATTCCCACAAAACTGGTAAGTTGCGGTTATTAGAAATACGGCAAAGTTGGTAAATAAGCTAGTTTCCATCATGTAGTGGGTGGCCATGAAGTGCCACGCGTTCTGCTTGCCGCAACTAGGCCACCGCGAGTTTGTGCATAAGAATGAAAACGTAGTCGAAAACTGACCAAATGTCACACCATCTGAAAGGGACCAAACATGAAAACATTCGTAATTTAGGCGATGCGACATGGATGCTTTCTATGACAGATATCAGTTTATACGGTACTCAAACGATCCGAGTGATACGCTTCTGGATGATCTAACACCATTGTTAAGGTCGCAAAATGTGAGTTTTGCATTACTGAGGCACCTAGATTATAAGTTGATAAAATAATTTTTTTT